AGAGACTGAGGAGGGGTATAGAGAGAGAGAGAGAGACAGACAGACAGACACAGACACAGAGACAAGGAGGGGGAGATGGGTTGAAGGAGGAGACGAGGGGGAAAACAGCAATGTTGGGAGGGAAGACAGCGACTGTGGGAGAATGACCGAGAGAGAACGAGAGAGAGAGAGATGGTGGAGGGAGGAGGACTGGGGAGGAGACAGTAAGTACATTCAACTCAATGGATGTGTGGGAAAGAAAGGGAGGTGGAGACACAGAACCCCAAAAGGTTTGTGTTGGTCGTTGGAAGGTGACGAAAGGGTACCACTGTCCCCAAACAGAAAAGCCCACACCAAAAGGTGGCTCAGCTGTGAGCAATGAGGAAGGTTTGGGTCGGCGGAGGTGGGGGGTTCCGGTTCAAGCTCTCTAGGAGGGTTGGGTGGGGGGCGTGGGGGGAAGGGGGTGTTGAGGTGCAGGGAGTTGAGGACAGGGACGGGGACGATGAAGATCTTCCTGCCCAGAGGCAGCACAGGGAGCCATAAGAGTCTGCAGCTGGTAAATCAGGGAGACGGGTGCAGCAGTGACCCCACCCCTCCACCCCCACCAGTCCATGCCCCTCTTGTGTCAGTGGGAACACCGGCCGGGGCGAGGCAGCGACAGTGATGCACTCTCAGGTCCAGGTGATGTTCCTCCTCCTCCTTCGGCACTGCTTCCAGGAGCGGTAACAGGATCCAACACACTTTCTGAGAGCTGGAGCTGTAACTGTAACACCCAGAGAGAGAGAGAGAGAGAATGTGTCAGAGAGAGAGAGAGCACAGGGAACTGCAGTCAGCACAGCACAGCTCTGCTCAGGGGCTTCACACACACACACCCTTCCCAGGGCAGGGTTACATACAGAGTAAAGCTCCCTCTACACTGTCCCCCCCATCAAACACACCCAGGGACAGGGACAGCATGGGGTTAGATACAGGCTAAAGCTCCCTCTACACTGTCCCCCTCATCAAACACACCCAGGGACAGCACGGGGTTAGACACAGAGTAAAGCTCCCTCTACACTGTCCTCCCCCATCAAACACTCCCAGGGTCAGGGACAGCACAGGGTTAGATACAGGGTAAAGCTCCATCTACACTGTCACCCCCCATCAAACACTCCCAAGGACAGCACGGGGTTACATACAGGGTAAAGCTTCCTCTACACTGTCCCCCCGATCATACACTCCCACAGACATGGACAGGGACAGCATGGGGTTAGATACAGAGTAAAGTTGCCTTTGGACAAGCCCAGTGAGCGAACAGGGCTGTGAACTGACCGTCAGTCGCTGTACATGTGCTCGAGCTCCTGTGGGTCCTCCTTCTCGAGGTAGATGGTGGTGTGCAGCAGGGCTTTGGGAGAGTTCTCAAAGAGTGCTGCTCGGTTCTGATACTGCCCTTTCTTCACCCAGTGCCCGTAGATACGGAAGGCACAGCCATCGATCAGCCTGCGCACAGCCTTGATGGTGTAGGGGTTGCCGATCAGGATCTCCTTGGTCACCAGCTTCATCCGCCTGTAGTTCTCGTTGATACGGATACAGGCCCGTGTTGTCCACACAGCCACCTACAACAGAGAGAGAGAGACAGTGGCATTGGTCACACGGGCCAGGAAGTCAGGGCACAGCAAGCGTATGTCCTCTCCCTCCGTAATCCCCCCAACTCCCGTCCAGGCCACCCCTTCTACCTCTCGTCCTAGGCCGCCCCCCCCAAGCCTGTCGCAGACCGCCCACTCTCCCTCCCTAGGCCCCCCTCCCGCTCTTGCCCCAGACTGACCCTCTCCCCCTTCATCCCATCCCAGACTGTCCCCTCTCCCACCCGTCCCAGACCACCCCCCACCTCCTTCTCCCCCAACTTCTTCCTGTCCCAGACCGCACCCCCCCGACCTTTCCTCTCACCTTC